CATCCACTTCCATCAACTCTTTTCATCCGTCTACCCTTCAACTGTAGATGTTGCTTTTAATATTGTTGTTAAAGATTAGTCTTTCTTTTAATTGCAAAGTATGTAATTCTTTGTTTACTTAAGCTGAAGTTGGGAGAAAACTGTCACTCAAGCAAGTAACTCAGTCTTAGCACTCTGGTTTTCATAGTTTTTATTACAAATGGTTGGTTTTTTTCTTATTTAGAATTCTTGGAGTAAAGTAAGGTTCTGATTATTGACACTGCCAGAGTATTTCAGGTTTTTTTCAACTTTGGATGCCAACAAAAAAATATTCTTAGACTAGCCAGATGGAAAAAGGAGGAAAAAAAGGCAACTGAGAGGCATGTCATGCTCAGTTAGGTAGGAGCTGAGTTCAGATCTCTGGTGTGGAGGGTCTGAGAGCCTTTACTATCTGAGGCTCATCCAGAAAAAGGGGAAAAGGAATTGAGGGTTACATATTTGCTAGAGAGAAGCTAATTGAGGTGAGTCTTAGTCTGTGTTGGTACTTTCTTATCTTTGGGGATTTTTTGTGATGAGAAAGGGTGACATGAGGCAGGGAGTGGGTGGGAGGAGGAAGGATATTTGGCATAGAAGTAATACCAGCTAGGCACAGCCAGGAAATGGTTAGGATGGACCTAAGCTAGATTAATTTTCTAGATAGGGCTGGTCTGAACTCTGAGCAGCCATCAAGGCAGAGCATGGGTGTCTGTTGCAGAGGCACAGAGACTGCTCTGAGGCTTGGATGAGTGTTGTGATTAGAGCAGTGAAACAAGAAGATAATTTAGATGACAGTTTAAAAGGATCAGAGCAGTCAAAAAATTTAAATAGTATGCAAAAGGTGGTGAGAATGTGAAAGAAGCTTTAACTGCAGAGAGTAAAATTGGATCTTACACCTATTTGCGTAGGATGAGGAGATGAATTGTAGAAGCAGCTTGGTGGCAACTCTAGAAAGAAGGCCAAGCTGAAGGCACTCAGAGGCTTCCCACAAATATAAAGAAGAAAAGGTGAAGAGTTGATGGCTGGAGTGTTGACAAAAATTTAGGAGATGTCATACAGACTTACTGACTTTATGCTGAGAACCTTCATGTCCTTCATCTGTTCTGGCATCCTTTGGCACCCAAGGATGAGAGTGCAATGGGAGAGAAAAAGGGAGGGGGGGATTGACATTTTCAGGGAGAGAAAATGAAGGCACCAAGAACACCAAACTGTGTGCTCAAAGAATTATATAAAAGAGCTTTAAAATAAAATCACACCTTCCCTATTTTGTAGTGTAAGAGCTCGTTAGAATCCAAGTGGTAGAAAAGAATGGAATGTTTCTGGAGCCCCTCTTTGGAAAAAACTCTGTCCAAAGTGGCAGTCAGCTTTTTGTAGAAGTGGGAAACCTGACAGTGCTACTTGCTGGAGAACAATATTGGGAGGTAAAGATGAGTGAGAGGAGAGAAACAGTAAGAATATTAGACTATCAATATTAGGGAACCCCTGAATTCTGAGGTAAAATGAAAACCATAAAGCTCATTCAATTCCACCAACCATGTCAGATCTTTAAAGGCTTTTTAATCTCCAGCAGCTTAGGATCTTTGTTGGCTCCACAAAGCAAAATACATGAAAAAGGGTAGGGGGGAAGAAAAGAGGGAATAGCAGTCAAGATATTTTACAAGTTTTGGAGAATTTTTCAGAAGAACTTGGCTATGAGAATTGATCAAGCAGAAATCTTCACAAACTAACTTGTAAAACAGGTCTCTGGTCATGGGGTTGCTGAAGAATTTTGAAGAAACTGGAGGAATGCTAATGCAGTAGCAGCATTTAGAAAGGTGACTACAAAGAAATACCTTTAGAAAGGTAAATACAAATCCTTGATGATATATTTATATATGGGACAAAGTTAGGAGGAATTGCAGAGAGTAACATTGGCAGTTGTGTAGGAGTTGTGGTCAGGTGCCAAGCTGTACCCATTAAAAGAAATGAGATTGTTTGTCTTGAGAAATAAGTTTTAATGAAATGATTTGAGTAGATTTTAGAGGAAGAATGTAACCTGTAGCTGCACAGTGGAGGATTAAGTCCTGAAAAACAGGGACTCTGCTAAATCTGCTAGCCACAGTGGGCAATCAGCTCATCATAGGCTACTGATTTAAAGCAGTGGCAAAAGAGCCACTCTTGGATGTCCAAAGAGGGGATTGATGAGTATGAGTAATTGGTGGAATTAATGCTCCCTGTAACACTTGTGGGATCACAACAAAAAAGTCATTAATGCAGGTCTGATGTGTGCTCTTCAGAAAGAACTCTGGGCAACTGTCAACAGGTTTAGAAAACAGATGCATGATTCCAAACCTGCAAAACCCCTTACAGCAAGAGATTTAGTGTTATATTTGTAAAGGAGATAATTTAAATACCTTCCCATAGCACCAAAAAAGGGGAGATAAAGATTCTATAATTACTAGCAATGCATATTATATGGGCCATGCCAGAATATAAAGCTTAACCAAAGTAAAGGCCCATGCATTAATGAGTGAGTATGTTAATTAGCAGCAAATTGATCCTCCATTACTTCAATCATCTGCTGATGCCTTCGGACAGAAAGACTTTTTGGAAGATACAGTTTGGCTCAACATGAGATGGGCATTAATCAAAAGCAGGTTATTAAGCTTAATAGAGAGATAAGTAGATACAATTTTATGGCCTCTGCCAGTTTCTGCAGTTAGCAGAACTTCTTGTCACCATCATAGAGGGTGAAATCTTGGTACTGTTGAGTTGAGAGCAGTGTTGCTGTATTTTGAAGACTTAGGGTTTGAGCACATACTGGTTTTAATCAGGCAAATGTACTGGATGATCATTAGTCTGATCTAGAACTGCCTCTTCCCAAATAAAGGTATTGCTTACAAATACTTATTTTTGTTGTTGTTTGCTTGCACAATAAAAATACATCAGAAATGTAAATTGTCTTTGAATGAGCTTTTAGAGGATGTTCACTTATTCCCCTAAAATTTGAAACACTTGATTTGTTTTTAGTGTTCAAAACCTGATCTTATTCTTGAGGGTGCAACGAGTATTGACGGGGAGAAAACACAGGCTCAGGAAGGAAGAAGTAACATTTGGGGAAAGATTTAACAGACAGTTTTATGTGTGATAATGCCAAATGCAGTTGCTGTGTACTGCTCTCTCTGATGTAGACTCTGCTGTGCATGACTGAAGTATTTAGGATTTTTTTTTCCTTTTTCTATGTGCTCTGAGAAACGATTCGACAGAAAATCCTCTGCTTTCTGTAGGGAGGTGGGGTGGGTTGGTTATAGTTGTGATTTTAACAGACAAATATTCCTTTTTATTGCTGTTTTAGTAGTGTTAAGTGATGGTTAAGGTCAGTGGGGTCTTCTAGTACAGCACATGTAGTTTGATAACCTGGGTTGCATGACTACCACGACTTTGAAAAGGAGTGATGAATTAAAAGGTCTTAGGTCTGTTCTTCAGGTATTCAGTTTCTTTATAAAGCAAAATTGCAGTATTACTGTCTAACCCCTCAGATCTTTATCACTGTGACAGGCACGTCTGCAAATGAGAGGTAATTAATTAGTTTTTGCCTGCCACTCCTACAGTTCCCACGTCGTGTCACGCAGAGGTGAGTGGCAGCGTCGTGGCCTGGGTGCAGTGAGGAGGGGCCAGGGGCTGCACTGACTCACGTCCCCACGTTCACGTTCTCCTCCTCACAGCTTATCACACTTTGTTATTCTGGGCTAATTTAGATCCTCAAATTAGCAGCTGCTTTGGGGAGAAATTTCCAGCTGATCACGTTCATCATTTCGGTGTTTTTAGCTGGATGTCATTTTACTCTCTAGGGAAGTTTTCTCCGAGAGCTGCTGGGAGGGGGTGAGGATGAGGTGGCTGGGGAAGCAGGCAAGTGCTTTGAGAGCTTTCTGCTGACTGGTTGAGGCAGTGATAAAGTTGTGAGAAGGGGTTTTAAAAACGATTTTTGGGTTTTAGTTTCATTGTCCACCTTTCGTCGTCGTTCCATTTTTAATTAAAAAAGATGATTTCAGCAGTACTGCTTAGCTTGGTGGAGCAGAATTAAGCTCAGTTGTTCCCTGTGCAGTTGTTAATTCATTTAGAATTAAGAAGTAATACTGAACAGCACTTTGTCTTTTATAGTACTATATAGGAGATACAGCTTGTCAAGCAAGCACAATATTTTACCAGCTTTTGATCATATTATCATCATCCTGTGTTAGGAATTGGTTGGTTGTTTTTTCCCCAAAGCTTTTGGCTTTCACCTGTAGAATTTATAAAACATAGAGCTGATGTTTAAATAAAAATGTACAAGGGAGAAGAAGCTTTTCAGTGGTTAGAAGGTTAGTTTTGCAGTGAAGAATGTGGCTTGATGTGGCAGCGTGGTTTGCAGCTGAATGTGTTGCCTCCTGAGTGATATTCTAAGAGTAGCCTACAAAAACAAATAAGAGACTAAAATGCAGTGAGTTCTCTTAAAATTAACACCTTTAAAAAGGAATCATAAAAGTAACATTTCTGGGTATTGTGTATTTGTTAGAGATCTGCTTCTTCTGACCTTTCTAAATGTCATTGTTTCATGTTTGCCAGGGTTGTGCTTGTGGTACTTGAAATCAATTGTTTCCTCAAATGCATCTGAAATCATTTTTAGAGGCTGTGTTTTCAGAGACACACAAGTGTGTATGTCCTAAACTGTTTTGTTATCTAATCCCCCCCAAACCTAGCATTTCATCCACATAAAACACATGCTGAAAGGAGGACTGGGGGCACATTGAGTTGTGAAGATAGGCCTTGTGATAATCATGGGGGAAACTGTGCAGTGCTCCCTTCTGGGGAGATGCTGGGGGGTTGCTTGTCCTCCAAAATATCCTGTGAAAATGGGAGAATAAGTTTTCTTCTCGTCCATATTTCAGGATGTTTTACCCAAGCAGCTTCTTTGGCTCATGAGTAGAGTCTTTTAATATCCTTCTGACTTGTCCTCCCTTTTCTAGCTGACAGCCACAGCTCACCCAGGGAACACACCCCAACTGGGAGCATGGATTCTCTTTCTTCTCAGTCTCCCACACCAGCCTTCTCTAGCAGCCCCCCTGGGCTCCTGGATGGAAATCACCTTATTATGGACAGTGGAGACCTTGCAGGCTGGACAACAAACCTGTGAGTACCCTGCAGATGAAGTTACACTTTTTCCTGTGCCCATAAAACACATTCACCTTTTCAATTTGGTGGCAAGCGAGTGGTTTTTAGGATCTCCATATAACAGCATTTGCTGTTTTCTGCTACAAAAAGTCATGCTGTGGTGGAGGTTAAAGGCTACTTGAATTTTTGCAGGAGATATTCTTTTTCTACAGAAGCCTGGTGCATTTTGTTGTAACCTGGTATAATTTAACCTTTTTTTTTGTTTGTTTTTATTAAGGCAATAAATATCTAAGTTAATTCCCTGCACGCTGGATCACCCCAGTTTTATTTCACTTAAATGCAAGGCTGTTAGGATTTAGGGCCAAATTTGGGGTTTGGATAAATACACTGTAATGAGTATGTGCTCAGATGATGTTGTCCAAGAATATTCTTGTTGTTAATCCTTTCTTACCAAATTAAATGCCTGTTTTCCAGTGAGTGCAGTCTGACACTTTCAGTAGACTCTGTAGATGTTCAGCTTTTGAGCAGGACTTCTGTTTAGCAAAAATTGACATTACAATGTTGTCCTGTCTCTGTAATAGGTATTGAGGTTTGAGACACAAAAAGCTGAACATAACTTGGGTTTTTAAATGAGAAATTGAACTTGAATTCTCTGGTTTGCTGTTCATACAGACTTGAACATATCAAAACAAAGTTTTCCAGCCTTCAGTGCCAAGAAGATGGAAGGAGCAGGTCTGGAGAAAAGATTTGTTACAAATATTTTCCATAGTGGCATCCTGAGTAGCCTGTTCTGTTGGTGAAGCAAGTGTGTAAAATATGTGTGTAGGTGTGTGTAATGCTTGAGGATCTCTAGATAGCCATACAATGGGGTTTATATTTCTATACACACAAATTATTAAGTGTTTATTAAAGTCCTTACCAGCTAGAACAGTATTTTCTCAGATGTGTTGAAAGAATTCCAGGTTTATAGGTATTTTACATAAATATTGTTCCTTCAGTAGAGGGCAAGTTGTATTGGGTGAAAAGAGCTGCACGTGTGGAAAATGTACTGCAGATGATCTAAAACTGGCAAAACACTGATAATGTCACTGCAGAGCATGAAAGAAGGAAGTGTTGGTTTTATCCAGAGGGTTCAGGAACTTCAGGTGTTTGAAGAACATGAACAATTTTTTTTGCATTTGTTGGTTTTCATCAAAAAATCATTCTGTGCTGCTGTTTTGGAAACTGTTTGATGGCTTGAGGTTTTGTGCTCAGCTGGAAACAGTACTTAAACAGTTCTGTTTGGCAGGAGAAGAAAAGGTCATGGTATGTGCATCTAGATTATTTGTCAAAAGCAGTTTTTCTCCCCCTCACCTGTCTGTGAGGTTTAAGAGCTGCCTCTCCAACAAGCCTGGACAGTGCCAGAGAGTGGTCTGTGAATGGGACATTCTTTCCTTTGCTTTCTCACCCCAAACTGGCTTCTCTTCCACTTCTAGTTCTGATGGCTCAGGGGGCCTGGGCTTAACTAAAAAAAAAACCCCAAGAAACCCCAAACCAAACCCAAACCAGCCCTGCTGTACTAATGGCAAAGGTGGATGCCAGCCACAGGGAATGTGCTTGGTGGACTTGAGCAGTCACTTGGTGGTGTGTGGCTGGAGTAGCTCTCACAGCTCTAGGAAATGCTGCCTTAGCTGTTCTCATGCATCAGGCTATCTGAGAATTAGGTGGAGAATAATCCTTTCTTTCTGTGCAGGATTTCAAAACGTTGTTTTGTGCCAAATTGGAAGAAACCCAGTTCTTCAAGTCTCAGGATCCTCTCTAAAATGGTATTGCAGGTCTTCACAGAGCTACAGCAAATGCCACACGGAGTCTAGGGGAGATGGAAATACAGGAGGATCCTGTTCCTCAGGTTTCTGCTGATGTTTCTAACACATGGGCAGTGCTTGTGAGGGATTGATCAGGAGGGGGTTGTGCAGCCAACAAGGTGATGGTGACTCCTTTGTGGTGGAAGAGCTGCTTGCATTGTTTCCTGAGGGAGGAATGCTGCATTCTGGGCTGAGATGTGTCAGATACTCCAAAGTTTCTGTAGCTTGCTGCAAGGACACGTGATGGATAGCTAGAATACCTTCTGTGGTATTTGTTTTCAAGAAAGAAGCTGCTTTTTTCATGAATGATAGCTGATGTTTTCTGGCAGAGCTTTTGGTGATGCTTGCCTTCCCCTCATCCCACCTGGGAAAACAAAGAGGAGCTCCAGCTTCCAGCATGGTGACAGGAGCACCAAATGAAGGCTAATCCACCTTCCCCTCCTGGCTGGTGCTGGGAGGGGACTGGATGGCCAGAGGGGTGAGGAAAGCTGAGGGAGCAGGGGCTGCATCACCAGTTTGAGAGGTCTCACAGAGCCCTGGCTGCTCCATGGCCACGTCAGCACTGAGAGATGGGCCATGCATACGGTGGAACTGGCAGGTGATGTTTCACATATGTGCCATTTTGAGGCCCTGCTAAGCTGTTGGTTTGCATGTCTCTGAGTGTGTGTCTGCCTGATGCTAGATTTTCTTTGAAAGCTCTGTGTGGCTCAGACATATGCCCTGTGTTGTCTTGTGCTGCTGGGTGGGTAGAGAGTTGGGTGATGGTTGGCTCTTACTGCCCACGGAGGGGTGGTTCCCAGTGGAGACCCCAAGTTTGCTCTTCTAAGGTTGTCTTGCACCCTAAACTTTTTTTTTTCAGCCTTTTTTCCTGAAGATATTTTTAACTTCACGCTTCCATCTAGAGCCAAATGCTAAAAATAAATGTTTTATTTTTACATCCACTCTATGGTAGAACGTGGAGAGCTTTTTCTTCCCCTGCCAATCACAGAGTTACAGAGTAGTTGATGTAGACACAGGATTCAAACTCCAAATAGACCAGAATGGGCAAATTACCTTTTCTACTTGATAGAGCACTGTGTCATAAACATGACATTGAAATTCCCTTCTCTTCAAGGATGCTCAGCAGGAGCTGATCTCAGACATAAACTGGTAGTTATGCCAGTGAGCTGGAGAGAGGATTCCCCCCTTGCTCCCCACTGCTATGGGCATTTTTTCCCCTTTAAGGCAGAGCAGCAATGGTGATCTCAGTTTAATGTTAACCCAAGCATCTGCATTCATTTTCCTCTCTGCTTTAAGTGTCCATACACACTTGCCCTCCAGCTACAGAATCAACATTGTGCAGCCATCTGTCTTCCTCAGATTGCTCTGGAGCCACTGTCAAAGTCCACTTTGCTCTGACAGGGCTCCAGGTGATGGCTGTTTCTGGAAGCAGAGCATGTTTCAGGCTGGTTTAGGACTGATGCTGGTGTAGTTTCACCAGCAGGGCATGTATTTTAACATTTTATTCCTTCATACAGAGCAGATATGTTTTCTGAGTTGACCATAACATTATTCTGACTTGAATTTAAACAAAAAACCCCTAACCCTAACCAAGCAAACTTCCAACCATCTTTAACCATGGTCATCAGCTGTCCCCAAACTGTTGTCTACCCTACCACTGGGGGAATTTAGACCCCACCATCCACCCTTCACTCCTTCCTTCAGAGCTGCTTCAAACCCTAGTTAATCTGAGAAAGGATTATTCCAAATCTCTCCTGGCAAATCAATTTGTGTTTTCTTCCTTCTAATATCTCTGCTGTTTTTTCTGCTCTTGAGCTCCCTCCAGATTCTGTGGCTCCAGGCAGTGAGCAGGCAACGTTGGTAAGGAAGTGTGTTCATGGAAAGGTGTCACCAGAAGCACCAGGAATAGTGCAAAAGATGCAACATCAGGCATGAAGTGATAGACTTCAATTAAAAAGAGCAAGGGTTTTTTTGCAGCTGTTTTAGTTTGATTGTATTTATTACAATTTACTACATGGCTTTGGTCACCTATATCAGAATTTTTTCCCATCTTCAGCCTATTTTATGTTGTTTAGGTACTATTAAAATACTTTTTTTCCCAACTTTGTTTTATTATGCACTAGAAAATGCCACTTTTGAGCTTTTTAACATTTCTAACTAACTACCCTATGCCAAAAAAAAGGTAATTATGGTAATTGATGACTCTTCTTTGAGAAGTAGAAGTCTGACATGTCTTAAACCATAGAACCTTCCAATTTCTGCACCTCCTGTGATTCTTCTGAGTGAGGTGTTACCTGTTTAACATCTAGGTTAGGTACTGGACTCTCTTCCTCCCATATCTGGTCTTGAAAGTGTTGCCATGCTCACATCACCAACCAATTCCTTCTTTTCTGAGCTGCTGCTTTCATATCATGTCCTATGTCTGCTTTCACTTGACCTCAGAATGAACCAAAAAACCTGAACTCTTGATGTTCCCTGGACTTGGTATGTGTTGTAATTAATCTTTCAGAGGAGATGTTTCTGATAAGGAAAGATTTGTTACTGCAACAGGCCCCTCCCAGTGCTGGGGTTTCAGAATTGAGTCAGTCTCCTCTTTTGGTTGGAAGTCCCCTATAATACCTGCAGGATATCTTCATCATTTGGGTCATGAAAACTCAGGTCTGTCCTCCTTGAATGGCAAGTTCATTTTTGGGATCTGAGCCTGGAGGCTCTCTGGGTTTCCTAGAGAGTTTGGAACGTGGTGACTTCTGATGGTTGCTCTGAATGGAGACGTGGTGGAGGATGTGGAGTGGCCTTCCTCAAGATGAGGATGCTGCCTGAGTGCCTGTTGACCTTGCCCCCTCCTCTTTCCCCCTCTGAACCTTGGGGATTTTGAAGTTGGGTGGGATGGAGAGCATCCTGTCCCTCAAACCTCTTCACTGAGTGGTACAGGAGTGGGGGTTGGTACAGCAGGAACATTTCTGGGCTCAGAATAGTAAAGTCATAGTTTTCAAATTAAATCCCACCTTGGATGCTGCTGTAGGAGCATTAAGATACAGTCCTGACAGTGCAAATAAGATAGTCAAGACCTAGAGGACAAAGAGAAGCACTGATATAAACATCTTTTCAGGAATATGCCAGGGACCAGAGGCAGAGGAAATAACCCCCTCTGCCATTGCTTCAGGTCTTTATTGCTTCTCCTGACACTAAAATGTTCTGCTCCACAGCTCAGTGGTGCATCCATGCTGCACTATGGGCATCCTTTGGGGGGTTTTAATACCCACAGAGGCTTTCAAAGTGGTGAAGAGAACCTGTGCTGCCTGACACCCTGGGTCCTTTCAGGGTCTTTGTCACCAGGCTGGGAAGCAGCTACTTGTTCTTCATGAAATCTTGGGCTGTTCAAATTCCCAGGGAGCAAACTGCTGTTAAAAGCCATCAGATGGCAAGGGAGGGCAGAAATAGTGCTACTGTGCACCTAACAGAAGCCTTGGAGATAGGTGCTAATGAAGTAGTTATTAATTTTGTTTAATGAATTGTCATAGCTACGCCAGTAGACTGCATCTATAGTCTCCTTAAAATTGGAATAGTTTCTTTTAGTCCTTCCTGGCAGTGCTGTGAATTGGCTGCTTTACATACACAACTGACTTCACTCTGGGTGTCTAGAAAACTTTTTATAATCTCTAATGTCCTCCTTCCATTAAAAGAAGAGGCTGCAGCAGCTGCAGAAGGCCCCGTGCAGGTACCTAGCAGTGCCCTTTGCTCCTCCTGCTTATTTTGCTGCCTGGTTTGGTCTCAGCTGCCCCCTCTCCAGCCAGTCAGCAGCCTGGGAGTGGGGCTCAGCAGAGCAGGCCCTTCTGTTTGTGCCCTTTGAGAGCAGCAGCCCTCATTTTGCAGCTCCTGTGAAAGGGGCCCTGTTGCCTTTGCAGCTTGGCTCCCGTGGCTCAGACGAAGCAGGCTTGGCCATCTCCTTGCCTTCCAGTGGGCTCAGCAGCTGGGCTTGCCAGCACCACAGCTCCGGGGGCACAGGGGGAGCAGAATGTGTGCTCAGAGCAGGGGAAGATGTGCAAGCAACCACCCTGAGCTGAAGTTTCTTTTTTTTTTCCTTTTTTTTCCCCCCCTCTCTTCTTTCTCTTGTCTTTGCAGGACTCCAGGAAACCCCACCCACTCGTTTTGTTTTTTTCTAAACCAAACTGGAGTATGCTATAAGCTGATAGATGTACATACCTCATTTGTGCTTTGTCTGAACTATCATTGAAAAATGCTTTAACTTAGGACAGCTGCTGGAGACATTAGCTTCAGATTTACCAGACTGGCATGAAAGATCATTTCACTGATGTGTCAGCTGCTTCACTGAGACCTCACAGCCCAAGCTTAACAAAAACTCTATTTCAGTGCTGGCTGGTGCATTCTGTAGAAATGAGGGATCAGGAATGCTGCCTGCTTTAAGTTTTTGGGGTAGAATTTCAGAGGGAACATGGGTGAGGAAGCTCTGTCCTGTTTTGTCTCCAGCTTTGCTGCAACTGTGATGATTTCTAGAAGTTTGTCAAGGTGTTTTTCTGATCCCCAGCCTCCCCAAGACACAGGGGTTTTAACATGCAGGAAGATCCTTATCTGGTGGTGGAGAGGATTGGATTGCATCTTGAATCAGAAACAGCCCACACCTTTTGATATACTGTGTTGTCTTCTAATGAAACCTTTTGAGAACACTCCCATGGAGTTTGTCAGCCAGGCCCTGGGATGGGACAGCCCTGGGGCTGCCAAACTCAGCTGTGAAACAACCCTGGTTTTTTATTTTTCTCAAGAGTTGCAGTGTAGATTCTTTTCACAGAGTCTCTTCCTTGCTCTCGAGATAAGAGGCTGCTCTTTAGCTGTGTTACCTTAGGAACCAGCCAGATAAACATCCAATAAAATCTTGTTTTCAAGAGTTTGTTTCTGAATATCAGTACAAAATCTCTAGCTTATTTTCAGTAAGGCCATTTCCCCTCTCCTCCCTTTTCCCAACGTTCCCTATGGCAGACAATAACATTTTTTTTTCTCAGAGAAATGGTTATGTCAGGTGCTTTTTTTCCCCCTTCTCCACACAATAAATCCACTGCTTTTGTTTTAGCCCTTAGGACAAAGGATTTCTTCAACAGGGCTTCTCAAAGTTGAGGTGCTGCATGATAAGCTAGGCAATACTTTCTAATATATCTTCATCTTGATGAAACAAGATACACAGAGCTTTAGAGCAAGGTAACTTTGCTGCTGCAAGGATCTTTAGTCAGGAAACACAAAAATAACCCTGCAGCTTGTGGCATGTTCACCACAACACTGGAACTCCTTTCTCCTATTGAGTGAAACCTTCTGTTTTAATAGTAAAATTAAATGGTTCCTGAGCTATCCAAGCACATTTTGTTTCCTCTCCTGTTCCTTTATTTGCACACCTTTTGTCTTTTTTGTTCCTTTTTCTTTCTTCTCCAAATCTCAGAGGGGAAACCATCTGGTTTTTCTTCCAGATATTCCTATGAGTGACCATTGCTCCCCTGGGTTGGAGGGCATCTTTCATGTCTCCTCTGGTCTGAACCAGAAATATTTCTGTAGTGCTACAGGTTTCAGAAAGGAGCCTGACAGCAGTTTTAATATTGGAATTGATTTGGATTGAAACAATGAGAGCACAAAGAAAACGTTTCTAATAGTTTAGTATATGCAAGGAGTGTATTTTTTTATTTATTTTTATTTTAGTCTTAGGTTCACCTTGTATGTTCCTGAGTTAAAATTAATTCTGCACTTATACATTATGTGCAGAATGAGGGAGAGATATTCTACTTTGCATCAAACTTTATAAACCTTACAGTATGATTGAGACTTTAATTATTCTCAGTATTTAAAGAAAACAACACAAACATTGGTGTTCACTTTTTATTTTCCTTCTCTGACTTAAGTAACTTTTAGCTGAAGGTTTTTTTTGTTTACCTGAGGAAAATTTTTCAGTATTTAACTGAAAATGGAAGAGGACAAGTTCAAGTAAAAGTAAACCCCAAAATTAACCTGGGTTGTGGTCTTCAAAGGTGTGTAGTTACTGGAAGATTTTGTAGTGGAAGATTCAGTATCAGTGAAGCAGATTAAATGTCCTCTTCCCAAAGTTAAGCATGAAAAATATTTCTAGTCAGCACAATCCAGCTTTTCATTCAGTTTACTCTATATGATTCTTTCATTTGGTACATCTGACAGTTGTGAAACCAGAGGATGTTTTGATAAACCTGTCTGGTTTTGATTCCAGCACGTTTCAGTTTCATTTTTATTAATAGAATTAAATGTTGAATGCTGTTTTCATCCACTGTGAATTCCAGTTTTTATCCAAATACTTCCTGACACGGATCCAAAAGGAAAACTATTGTCCTGTTAAATAAGGAATGTGCCATTCACCATTTTATAATATTCTACATTTACAAATTAATAATCAAAATAGATGTCTGCTTAACTATGTAACCACTAGATTGACCATAAAATAAATTGGCTGGGGAAATCAGCTTGTAAAAAGCTGAATTTGATTGTAAACCATGTTCTGCAAACCAACAGTGATGATCCTTCTAGAAATTAAGCATCCCAGTGCACAAGATGATTAAAAATCAGCTATATAAATTAGGTTTCCTGATGTCTGATGTTAATTTACATTAATTAGTGGGGTGATGGTTGATTCCTTTTTTGCTTTTGGTCAATGTACCTTGATGAGGTGTGCATTTATACCTCCCCAAAAATGTTCTCAACTGGATTTCCTCAATTTTGATGGGCCTTTGCAGATGGATGGTATCTAAGAGCTTGATCTTGGAACTGATAAATTCTGTGTTGTGAATTCTGTATTTCTGAGTGATGATTCCTGTGTGAAAGCTGAGTACGAATGATTTTAATCCTCTTTCTGCTTAGAAACTGCTTGAAGTCCAGCTCTTTGTGCCAAAGATATGCTGACATGAAATGTTTGGACTCTTTATTGGCCTTCCAATGCTGGAACGCTTTCGTTCTTTAAGGTGTAAAATTAGGAACATTACTTAATGTTGGGGAGGACTCTGTGTTTTTTCAATGACTCATAAAAGTCGTAACTTTGGCTGCCACTTCTTTCCCTCTTGTGGCATCTTGTGTGCTCGGCCATTAATTGAATACATATTTGAACAGTGTGTTTATGAGGGCAGCCACTGAGGCAGCATCTACGCAGTCAGGAGGATGAGATCTCAATCCAGAGCCAGCAGCATGATCCTGGTGTTGTAATAGCTGCAGCCTTGTCTGAAGTCTTCCCAGCTGCAACAAGCCTTGGTACAGCACTGAGAAGAGTTTTAAATAGTTTCATCAAAACCTGCAAAGGCAAAAGTGGCAGCTCAAATAATAGCCTGCTCTGTGCCGTTTCATTGTATCTGTCTTCGTTAGGTAGAAGGAATGTGGAATTTTCTCTTTTTTTATTGGTTTTGACATCTATCTCAGGTAATTTGTCTTAGCTTAGGTTGTAGGGCATGTAAGAGAAGCACTTCAAGAAGGAGATGCAGAATCATATGATGGCTCTGTCTGCAAAATCAGCTTGCCACATCTGCAAAAGCAGCTTGACGTTCTCCGTTTTGAATCTGAGAACCTAATTAGTGATCTCGTGATAAAGCTTCAAGCATTTTGGTATGAAATCCCCTTTGTTAATTCTGCCTTGACCATATTTCCTCATAGCCCAGGTCAGAGCCGCCCGTCGATGGTCTCGTGGTTGAACACCCCAGCTGCCAACCCAGCTGCCACAAGTGCTGCCCCCTCCACCTTCCTCTTCCCTACCCCTGCCCCGGGGAGTGACAGAGCAGTGGAAAGGTAGGACGTGCACTTCAACTTCTGCTCCTCATTCATTTGCCCCCTTTTTTTCTCTATCTTTTTAGAAATAGGTAACTCTCACCTTCTGCAGGATGTGAACGGCTGTCTCAAAGCAAGAAGTGCAGCCAGAGTGATTGTGACAGAAGAAAATAGCTCTTTATGTGGTCTTGTCTTTCCTTTGAACACCTTCCTTCTAGAAGGCACCCAGATTGAGCCACTGGCTTGTTGCTTGATGTAAGCAGGCTTTGATTTGGGTGGTCAATCCACAGTGCCTCTCTGCTGCAGTGATTCTCTTACAGTGTCTTTTAAAATACAGATTCTTTCTCTTCTGTAGCCACCCATGTCATATTTAAATTGCTCAGCCTAGGCCTCTTGCCTCTGAAGGACTTCCCCATGTCTTTGCCTGTCTCTGTGGGTTCATTGATTTTTCTTTCACTCTTTTTGCCTGTTTTCCTTCCATCCTGTTTCTGCCTCCTTCCATCTCGTCCATCTTTTGAAGTATTTTAACCTTTCCCTTTGATGGTCTTCACCATCATAGCTTTTTCCTTCAAGTTGTGCAATATTTGCTTTTCCAGTGAAAGTACTTGGGTATATTCATAAATTCTTTCCAACACTTGGTTACAAAAATTCCATTTTTCAGACTTTGTACCAGAACTGTATTGTCTGTGCATCTCTTGAGTTCCTTGGGGAAGGGAGAATCTTTCCCAATGTTTTATGTGTAGTTTTTGTCAAAGATGATTTAATGATGTGGGTGCTGTGTCTAAACAAAGCATCTTTGGGCAGCAGCAAACTCAGTTCACAAAGGAGGGATTAAATAAGACATGCCAAAAATAACTTATATAGTCCATGATCTCTGCTTAGGGTACTTGGAGGAGAAATGAATACTTTGGACAGATTCATATTGCTAGCTTACTACTGAGCATCCTGAGAACACCTCTGAAAAGTGCCTGAAATGTTGTGTTTGGGAGAAACCAGCAGTGCTGTTGTAAACCAACATAAAAAGCTCATTTTCTAGTGAAAAGCTGAGCTGCAAGATTGATGAAGAAATGTTTCAGAAGATATGATGATGATTAGTCTGTGAATTAAGTATAATATTCTTTGCCTGCTATTGATTTCATTGATAAGCACTTGGCAAAATTTTAATGGTAGTTGAAAGTCGAGTTTATCCTAAAAATCAGTGTACATAAAGTTTGGAGTGTGATAATTCCCAAATGCCAACAGTAAGCTGTGAAGCTTCAGTTTTGGCATTTCTGGAATGATGCATCTGAGATTGTGTTTCAGCTTCTAGTCACTGCCAGATGAGAATGGGTGAGAAAGGAGAGTGTCTTCAGAACAGTAAAAACTGCCTATAACTCATAAATTCCTTTTTTCAGCATTGCCCACCGAAAAGCAAGAGCAGTTTATCCCTGTGAGGCAGAACACAGCTCTGAATTATCATTTCAGATAGGAGCAATTTTTGAAGATGGTAAGTACTGCTTGAGTTAAAGATAAAGCAATAAAAACCAAATGGAGAAAACTGCTAAAATGGCTTTGGCTCAACACACAGACCTAACTGCTGTTCTGTCAGCCTTGGGGACTTAGAAGATTCCTGGTGTGCAGAAGCTGCTTAGCACTTGTGAAGCAATGCCTGTGATTTCTGTTGAGTAGACACTTTCAGTTGGTCTCATTGTTTAGCATCATTTAAATAGAGTGTAGTACCAAGAAAGGTTATTTAGCACTTAGAGAAAAACATCTTAGCTGATGAAATTGTATTATTTTTAAAATGGGAATTATCCTCGTGAAGTAACACATTGGCTTTTCATTTCAAGAGGAAAAAAAAAAAGCCTATTTAAGCATCTATTTAATAATCTATTAGATGTAAATATCTATTTAATAATCTATTGAAGTGAGCAGAGCTCTAGGTAAATCAGGTGATCACTGGAGAGGAAAGGGAGTGTTTACTTTTTGCATCAAAGGGTGATTTATTCTCTCTAAAAACCTGCAGAAAAAGGAATATTCACTGATGTGCAGAATGAAGGCTTGTGTTTAAAGATTTCTGTGGACTCAAATATAGTTCACAGATGAACATCCAAGAAGGTGATTCCCATGTTCCAAACTCTGTTGCTCCTCAGTGAGCTTCAGTGGGTCTACACTTGAGCAACAGCACAGGGGCTTCAGGGGGCATTGAATAGTAATTTGAAGCAGAAATGAGCTCATAGCAGCAGCATGTTACTGTTGTTTGTTACAAGACCTTAATAAAAAAATCACATTTGTACTAAAAAAAACCAGAAGAATCTTAAGTTGGGCCAAATCTTTGTTCAGGTTTTGTGCAGACTGGAGGATTCAGAGTGATCTGAGAGTTGCATCCCTAAGAACCTTGTGAGCACTGACAGCAGTATTTCAGTCTTTCAGTATGTCTGGAGGCAAGGAGGGTAGCAAGAGGCACACTGGCCCCTAAAGAACCTGGAAATTCTGCTGTGATGCCTCTTTTCTTCTTGTCCACTGGCAGCTTTTAGCTTGCTACTAGGTTGGAAATCAAATGTGCTATCCAGAAGAAAAGTGGTATATAATTCTGCACCACCAAACACACTTTTAGGGGATGTCCTGCCCAGTCCTTCTTATACCACATCTGAGAATATTTGGTTGGGTGCCCATATTAGGAGGAGTATTTACAGGCTCAGCTTTTCAGTTAGAGAGTTGGCTTGTCCAAGGACAAGTATGGAATTCAGCTCCTTGGCAGCCATGGGGAAAGGTTTCAGCTGGAAGACTTTTTCCTTCTGGTCACACCAGTAAGATTGGAAGCTTGGGAAGAGGTGACGTGGATTGCACTTGGAAAAACCTAACTGCAGATTTCCAGTGGGAAATACATTTCCTTAGTTGTTTGGGTTTATTTTATTTATTTCACAACATCCTGGTGATTTTTTAGATAGGTTTTGCTCTGTGGGGCTCTTCTGTAGGCTGTGGACTGGCAGAGAAAAGGAGGAGAGCAAGCAAGAACTAAGGAATTAACTGGACATATGTGACAACTGGTCACTCCAGTTAGTCCATTATGGTCATATTCCATTATGGTCATTCCACAGCAGTTCCCAATAGGTTGTGTCATGGATGGGTCTGAGGTGTGGAAAGCTGTCCTCATCAAAAGTGCAGACCAGTCCCCATGGCTGAAGCCCCTGAGATGCCTTCACACAGACCTTTTCTTCTTGCCCCAGGCACCCTCGTGTCTGTGCTGGGATCAGATCCCCCTGAATCAATCCAGGTTCTTTAGTTACTCAATTTAAATTCCCACATGCCCTCATAAAGCCCTCAGATGAAGAATTAAAGTAATCATACATCAATTCTGCAACTCTACCAGTAACCTTGACTATCAAAGTGACAACCCATCAATCAAGTTGACATCCAGCTGGTATCAACCATTAAAGCAGCTGTTAAATGACTGTCTACTAAAATTGCTGCTCCCATTACTGAGGGCTTTACCCATCTCCTTCCTCCACCCTGCCTGTGCCACTTTTCTAATCCTGCCTCTTTCTCCTCACCCTGCTTGTTGAGTTTTTTTTCCTTTCTCTTCCCTCTCTTCTTTGTCTCCTTCTCTTCGTAGTTTCCCTTCCAGGTTCTTCTGTTCCATCTCTCCCGGCCCATAGATGTTGATTGCAGCAGTTCTCTCTTGCCTGTTGTTATCCTGGATGAATCTTTCTGGCTGCTCCACTTTGAGACAGGATAATGGCATTTAGTGAAGCACAGTCTTGCACCTCTCAGGGCTGATAAATGTAATACTGGTGCAGGAAGGTGAGAGGTTAACCTTTAGTCCTGGCTCCATTTCCTCGTGTGAAATGGGGGGGGAAAAAAAAGAACCTGTTTGTGTCTTGGACTGACAAGGTTAGGTTGAATAATATTTAAATGAAGCTTTACATCACCCAACCTGTATAGAATCTGAACCTTTCCACGTTCAGGTGGTTTCAGTGTTGCTTGTACCTTGTACTACCCCAAATCCCCCAGTCTTCCCATCAAAGGGTCACAGACTTTACATGCTGAGGTGCCATCTGCCAAGTTAAAAAGGAAAAGGCAAAGTTTCCTACTTAATTGATTTGTGTGAGAAAATGAATAATCTGAACAATATCCCCTGGATTTTTGATTGCCAGCACATCACAGTCTAATTCAAGAGGTGAGAGGCAAAGCTTGAAGAGTTTGCAGCTGGAGAAGGGCACGTGTGGGAAGGAGCAGAGTATGATCTGAGATAGATGCTGGCTCTATACTCCTGTTGTTATTGAAGCAGATATTCCCAATAATCATGGAGAGAAGAATCAGATTGCCTGGCATTGAAACGTTGCCAGCCTTGGAGCCAAGTTTTATTAAATTTCTGGTTCTTAAAAGAGGCTGAATAGAAGTCGGTAAATGGGAATTTCACTGGAGAGAAGTGTTTTAGATAGAGTAAATGGTGTTTACACAACAAAATTCCTTGGCAGTGTTGCTAGCAGGAAGGCTTCCTGAAAACTTGTCAAGATAGCTCTCATCAGAGCTTTTTACCATTTTTAAAATTGGGCTTTAAGGGAGAGAAAATATGGGGAAAACAGCAAACGTTTTGTTGCAGAGAATTTTCTCAGGGAAGTTGTGGCACCAATTGTCCAAACCAAGCACAGCAGGAACCCAAAAAGCTGTGTTCACACAGCCCTGGTCATCCCCCTCTATGTTTCCTGGTGGAACAAAGTGGCAGCCTTGGTTCATGTCCCTGGTTTTGCCTCCAAGCCACTCTCTTCCCTCTTATTCATCCTGTGGCTTCTGGACTGTCTGTCTTTATGGTACTGAGAAATGCAGAATTTACATCAAGAGAAGTAGCACTCCCAAAACACCACATTGCACTATGGCCAATAAAAGCTTTTATTGAGGTAAAAATTAAGTTAATTTAAATAGAATTTATATAATTTAAATATAATTTATAGAATTTATTTATATAAGTTACAGTGCAGGGAAATCAGCAGCAGCTCAGCTGACCAACCACTCACTTGCCTCTATTTTAGAGGCAGCCAAATGATTCTTTGAGTTCTCTCTCTATTCATTGCATTGACCAGATCTCTACCAGCTGGACCAGGAGCTTGGACACCTCTGGGTGGGGAAATTTCAGTCTCCAAGCTGAAGTCCACCTTCACTAGTTTGTCATGATGTTGTTCACAAGCCTGAGCCCTCACAGGCAGACTGGTTTATTTGTGGTCATGTAGCAGATCTTCAGCAGGCAGGAGGAACACCCCTGGACTCCTCACCTCGTGTCCTATCCACAAGATAATTTTCCTTCTCCCAACTTGGGGCAAACAGCAAGTTTTAAGATTTCAAATTCCATGCCAGCCCTGAAACGTGCTCAATGTTTGTGTGTTTTCTGTGCTCAGCTCAACCCATAGGGATTGTTTCAAAACCCCAGAGGGATTTCTAAACACAGAGGGCTTGCAAGCACATTTTGTTGCTTTAATTTCCTGAAAAACTGGCCAGCATGACTGGGGTCTATGGAAATGTCTGCTGTGGTGCAGTGGTTTTAGCAGTGAGTTTTCTGTTGCCCACAAAATGGGATCCTCATGTAGCTCCTGGGGTCATTGCCTGGGTTAAAGGAGCCCATCAGGGAGGGAGGTCTTCTTGTGCTAGGCACCATGCATGTCACATTGCCTTCCCTGGTTCCACCCAAGGGTGTAAATCAGTGCTG